GGTTATTAACTGCTTCACTTTGCTCTTGGCCACCGGTCCATCACATGAGTCTAATATAACAACATTTTTTTATTAAAAAATACGTAGTGTACATGACTGACACTGCTGTGTTTAGTTTTAAGTTGATATCTAGCCTAGAAACAAAGAATCCAGGGTACTGGGGCAAGGAAGGACAGTCTTCCCGAATTTCTATTTCCTCCAAACCCTGTTAAGGGGAGGACCATTAAAACTGCTCCTGAATCTTTTCTTTTCACTTCAGTATTATTTCAGAAGTTTCGCCTGCAAGATTCAGTCTTCCTTGCCAGGCCACTGAGATTTAAGACTTTAATGTCAAGAAGGTCTTAAACTACTGGGTCCTTTCTTCCTGCAGTGAAACAGGTCGTTGCTACGTGTTGGTGCTCCTTCCACAATTTTGGCTGGAGCCTTGAAAATGTTCAAGTCTGATCTGGACTGCAAAGAGTAATAATCCTCCTTCTGCCTTCCAGAGTAGGAATACACTGAGAAATCACTCTTTTCTTTTGTTTTTTAATCCACTTACAAAACTGTGTCTTTTCCAGGTTCCATCCCCTTCACAAAGATCCCTTTTTTTTGCCCTGGCCAATAAAACTTTTAGACCTGACAGCTCTGTGTAAAGGGAATAAAAACCCTCTTCCACACACACACACAGACGGACACACACACGCACAGACACACACGACTGTCAAATATTGGTCTGCGTTTCAGTAAATAAGGAAAGCCTCCAAGTCTATGCAAGGATCCCTTGGACACCATCCAAGCCATCGGAGAACAGTCAGTGTCCCAGGGGAACACACAGACAAACGCGGATCAGCACAGACTCATGTAACGGCTGTTGTGAGCGATGGTAGCTGCTGTGTGTGTAACCACTATTGGATTACCAGCATGGTTTTTGGTTTTCCACTGCCCCTAGGGCACGCTAATCAGCTTTAAACTGTTGCTTACCCAAGTATTCACTCAGTGAGTGTAATCATAGTGCTCTTAATTTTTTTTTTTTAAGGCACTCATCCCTCAAATTCTGGAGTCAGCTGCACTCTGCTTGCAATTTCTGCTGTTACAGAAAGGAGAAATGGACCAAAGTTTGGCTTTGCATAAGCGTACGACTGTGTTCCTTAAAGGGCTATGTTGCAATGCACAGAAAGAGCCAGAAAGGCAAACAAAAGGCAGTTGTTCATCAGTTTCTGCCACAGCTGGAAAATTCTAAATCTTTGCTTAATGAAAAAAACCCCACCCAAATTACTAAGGAAAAAAATGGAATATACTATAATAATAAAGTTCCTATCGTTGCCAAGAGAAATCACAGATATCGTTCCTCTGCTGTGCAGAATGTAGCTAGCTGTTTAATTTTTGTGTGGTTGCTGCTTCTGTGGATTTGCAGGTGGAATTACCCGGAGGATGGTCCGTGCAGCTTCAGGTACCTCAACATGTGTAGAGTTTGTCGGGTCAGAGCCGGCCTATGAGAACAGCCAGTTCATACCTCTGCCTATAAGTAAAGGTAAAAACAACCCCCAAACAAGTCTACTTTACAGCTCAAGAAAAACAAGAGAGCTAAAATTGTATTTTAACACTTTCAACTTTTAAAGCTAGCACTCACAATTTGAAAAAAGCAGTACAGATGTTTCTTTCAAACAGGTGGGCTCATTCTCATCCATGGTGAAGTTGTCCATAAGAGTGAACTGAACAGCTCGGAGTCTTCTCGCCACGCGTTCACCTTCCATGTGATGGAAGCCAAAGACACCAGCTGGAGCAAAGAGAACTGGTAAGGTGGCCATCCTGTCAAGCAGCTAAGGAAACTAAAGCCTTTTCAATGCAATAGCCAGGATAAACTTTTATTGGTGGTCTTGCACGTCACACAGTTTCTGTTGGTAGTGCCTCAGTCGGTGTTGATTTCATACCTGTAGAACTGGAGTAGCCTCTGGAGTTTTGTTTTTACCTCTTCCTTACTTCCTAGGCTCCAGCCAACTCCCGAACTGCCTTTTCCATCGCTCTACACTTGAAGTTAGTGATTGGCTTCTGGAGTCAATAGCTGATCAGTATTCCTTTCTGATCCTTCGTTCGTGTTCCCTTTAAATGCAACTTTCACTCAATCAGCTCTCAAGATTAATTTACCCTCCTGCCAGAACAAGGCCCCTTGGCACAGCTGAATACACCTGCGTTAGCAGAAGCTTCTACTACAGCGTGAGCCCTACTAGTATGAGAATAGTCGCCCAGTCCTTTTGGTAAGGAAACTTCTTCAGTCTTGAGAATAGAGTGTTAAAAACAGTTGCACCTTGACTGGGACCAGTTAAGAGGTATTCCTTTTTGCAGATACTCAGTATTTTTTTTCTAAGTCAAGAGCTTGTCTAGTGCGTTTCTTGGTTGTGTCGATGCCAGCAACGCAGGTGAACGTGTCATGTGAAGATGGCTGACTTTTACCCTTAGATCTCTGTCCTGTTTGTGATTAAAAATAATCCTGTTGTGGGCAAACTGAAGCAGGGAGTCTACTTTTGTAATCAATCTACTAAGTATTTCTAGCAAACTGTAGCTGAGTGATCTCTGGGTGTGTTGATTAAAAATATTACAGTTCTTAAAGATTCGTGTTGAAATTATGAAAACAAAAGACCCTGGTGAGACTCCTGACATTTAAATAAAAAAAGAGAAATTCTCCTTTTCATCCCCCCTCATCTTTTCTTTGAGGAAGACAGTGTGACCTTCTCCCAACAGATGGGGCCAGCGCTAAGTTGTCTGATGACCGGTTTGAACTCTCAATGTGCACAAGAACAATTACTATCCCCCAAACCCCAACAAAACCAAATGAACTTATAGCAAGGTGAAACCTAAGGAATGTTAGGAAATTTAAGTTGCATCCGAGGCAAGCTCAAGCCTGTATCGTAAACTCAGCAGAAGCCGTGGAGGTGTAATTTCCCTGGCACTGGTGCAGTGGCAACGCTGAGATATGAGCCTGGTATCACCAACGCACTAACTACATCGTAGTAACCTTAAGACTGGTCGGAGTCCTGGCAGAGCGAGCCCCAGTTCTTATAGACACATCCCTTTCAAAAGTGTATTGCCTGTATCCGGCATTTGTTCGATGTGAAATAGTCAAATTTGGTTTCTTTATGGCAAGAAGTTTCCCTTCAGCCCTTTGGGCTTTGCTGGGCAATGCAGAATAGGGTCAGCGCAGCAAAGAGTTCATCAGAGAGGACTGGCCAGGAATTAGGGGACTGGGTAATGGCAACAGCAGTAATGTTCAAAGTTCCTGCAGGTACAGCGAAGTTCCTGCAGGTACAGCTGCTGCCCTCCCCTGCCTTCCCCACAGTTTGTTCGCAAGCTGTGAGCGGGGTGGAGGGAAAGGGACTTCTGTAACTCTGGTGCTCTTTTATGATGTTAGTGGTGAAGGCTGTGGCTTGTGATGGAAGCAGCTAAAGCTTCTTCCCGTGCCTTTCCGTTAGAAGAGGTAATAATTTAGAAGAGTCCTCTGATTGTACATTGCAGGTAGTGGTGCGTATAACACCATCTCGTTCAAGTGCATAAACAACAGCAAGAAGCTGGATTGGCTTTGCAGGATTTCCTGTTAAATGTGAAGGAAACTCAGTCTAGCACAATTATTGAGTTTGGTTTCCTGCAGAGTATCTGACAATTTATTGCATTATTAACCAAAACCAACTTTGGGGAATTTTGACAACCTCAGGAAAAGCAGTATCAACTCTCAGGAGCCCTGCCCAGGCGGGGGGAGGGGGGGTGTAAACTGGCCAACGCTGCCTCTCGGCTGTTCGAGTCCTGGCTTGTTGCAGGGACGAACACAATATTAGATCCTGGGGCCAATTTTGCTGGCCCGGGCTGCTGGCCCAGAGCACTAGTTTCACCCCACCCCCAGTCTTATTCTCACTCCCAAGACAGTCTCAGGGCTAGGGCTGCAGGACAGTATTGCGTAAGGTACCTCGGATTTGTACAAAACCGTTCCCAAAAGTGAATAAAAGAAGTGTCAGAAGCTAACTTCATCCTGCAAACAAGAATCCTGGGATGCAAACCTTCTGCTTGGCCGCTGCTTAGGGGAAGGGAAGAGGCAGGGAGGACATGTGCTGATGTGTCTTGCTCTAATGGACGCTTGGCAAACTGGCAAGAATGGATTGTCAATATAGAAGTGTTTAATACATCAAAATTATGGGGGGTTTTGGCCACAAAACGGTAGTTATAATTTTTAATCAAATGGCTTTACTCGATTTGTTGATAGAAGTATTTTCATAAATTATTTGATTAAACATCTAGCTGAAAAAATGTGAAAAGTAGAAGAATGCAATAGTATTAAAGAAGTTTATTGACTTTAACAGATTTTCTGCTTTCCTGATTAACGTGTAATTAGTTTTCTCTGTGACTTTGCTTAGGTTTTTTTCCCCTATATTGAATATTATTCCAAATGAATTTAGAGATTAAAATCTTGAAGATAAAACATTTTTCTTGTTGCATAAATCTCCAGGGCTACAACCGCAACTCTCGTTAGTACTGTTTGGAATAAATGGTCTCTTACATTCCCAAACCTCCCGCACCCGCCCCAGACAAACCGAGCTATTACAGCTACTGAATCTGAAGTTGTGTTCATACATCACAGTGCATTAGTACGGCTCGTGCTGACAGTGACTGGATTCGCTGGGACAGTCGTATTGACTTTGGGTAGACGGTGGCCACTATCCTTATAAAACATGCTTCAAATGGTGCTTCTACAGAAACGAGGAGTTTGCATATGCAGTAATACAAGGCGGCAGGGCTCAGTACAGTAAAACAAGTTTTGGCTCTGATGAAATACAGAGGTGGCAAAATCCGAGAGGTTTGCCTTTTTTCCTTCTCTCATTGACTTACCTCTTCTTCCTCTACCTCCTTTGCCTTTGAGCACCCAGAAGAAACATAAAAATAGCATTTGTGTTTAATAATCCAGTTTACAAGTCGCATTTGTGTTCTTGTGAGAACATAAATCAACTCATGCTGTTTTAAACAGGGGGGGAAAAACAAGACCAAAACAAAACCTTTATTTTAAATAGGTCTTTTTCATTTCTGTTTTTAACAATTTTATCTGCCGTACCAAAAGCAGTGTTTAGATCAGCTTTGAGCACTCATTACAGTGCATAGTCTATTATCACTTTTCCCTAGAAAGGAAGAAACCTTTGTTCCTGGAGGTGCTTCTAAGCCATAAACATTATCTGGAGGTAGAGAGGCAACAGCAGATTATCAATTTGGGTAGTATAAGCTTCCAAAAGAGAAACTAAACTCACAGATGCCAGAATCCAGGCATAGCTGGAGTTCAGATTCACGCTGCTGTCAAAGATCAGAATAAGAGCCACAGCAATGATCTGAGCAAAAATAGCTGTCATCGTCCCTTCAACGGTCTTCTTTGTTCCTGGCCATTTGATTTCCCCCATTGTACTACCAAAAACGGAGGCAATGGTGTCTCCTACCCCTACTGCCAGTACCCCAGCGTAGGGGACCAGTGCTCCTGCCCCAGACAAGGTACCTTTAGGAGCACAAGATCTAGGGAACAACCATACTGGGAGGGACATGCCAAGGAGGAGATAAATATGAGTGAAGATTAGAGGTCCACTGTCTCTTTCATCCAAGAAGAGAGACAGCAAATGCCTAAGGGTTTGGCCAAATGGTTTGATCCTGAAGTACCGAATATACTCTAAGAAGATAAACACTGCCAGACACAGTACTGCAGCAACGTAGAGAAGCTGGCGGTCATAAATTAGTCCAGGAACGTAAGTAGCTACAACAATGAAATGGAAATATTTCCTGGTTATAGTCGAGGCCTGGTGTTTTTTAGATTCAGATGATCTCTTAGCATTCTGGTAGAAAACCACGCCACATGCTGAAGCAGCCAAAAAGGTCCAATATACAAGAAGGTAAACTCTTGTCTGTGTCTGAAACAGAAACTGGAGTAGCCAGAACAAAGGGTTCCTCTGGATCAGTCGGTACAGCCAAGGCATGATGACCCCTAAGCCTAACACTGCTGTCATCATGTGGAAAAACAGGGAGGAGATCCACGTACCCGAATCCATGAAAATGAAGAGCACAGTGAAAAAAAGCCCAAGAAGAACAACTCCAACAACTGCTACCAGAAGGAAAAAGTCTATGGGATCACCTCTGCCCTCGATTACATTCAGTGAGCGTTTAATGAGCTGATTGAGAACAAAACTTATACCTCCGAGAACTAACAATGCTTCTCCAGGAGTAAAACATCGAGGCAACAAGTACAGCAAGATCATACTGAGGTAGACAAAAATTAGCAGCACTTCTAGGACCTCTATCACCTCTGAAACAGTCAAAGAGTGCTTCATGGTATAGATAATTATACTGCCAGCAACACCAGTGAGTATGCAGGTGTTGGTTGGCACAGGTTTTGTGATGCCAACCGCTATTACAGACAGAAAGAGAGCAACCAGCATGCCAGTGGAAGCTACAACTATGCCAAAACGTTCGAAGTACACGATGCCGGCAGACTTGCACCTCTCCTTCATCGCTATCCCCAACAAGGGGATGACCATGCTAGCTGGCAGGAGGCCACTGTTCGCTGCTGCACGGAACTGGAATACAGCCCCACCCAGCTGCAGCAGACGGTCCCATTTGAATTGGACATAAAAAGCCTGGACAGCGAGAGCGACGGCGCACCAGGAATACCGGTCCCACACCACTGCGTGCACAAAGAGAATGATGACGAACACGATCAGGGATTCCACCAGCACTGGCTTGTTTAACATGATTCCAGTCCGACGTGGCTCAAGCTTTCAAAAAATCTTTCTCAGGAGTCCCGATGGGCTCAATAGTTGTCCATTAGGAAGAATTCCCTTTCATGCTACTGCAATTCCTATTAAAAAAAAAAAAGAGCAAACAATTAAAGCAACTACTAGAAAAGCTAAAGCTTCCACAGCTGTTTTGTTCTTAAGCTCAATTTAAACTGATAATTATGTGCCAACTGTTAATGTCAACACACAGGTGAATAAAAAAAATAAAACCAGTGAGGTAATGGATCAGCCAAAACTGATATCCCCCTCTGAGAAGCAGAGAAGTCAGCCTGCAGTGACAGAAATGAACCACTGAATACTGGGGTATTCAGATGCAGTTTTAAATATTTCTGTTGCAGTGTCTTTGAATTGAAATATGAAGCAAACAAGCCATAAATATTCCCAGAAGGCTTCATTGTGATGACGTGAATCTGAAATATAGTTAATTCAGAAGTTTAAAGATAATTTTAGAACCCAATTTTGTATGTGGTTTTCACTGTAGTTTTACAGAATGTTTCTCCTTTTATTAAATATTTCTTCTCCCACTGCTGTGCAAAACCCCTACGTACCTCTCTCTCCTTCTGTTACTGACGTTATGATTGAATACTTCCACTACTGCAGCAGGTGTTTTATAATACACTATTTACAATAGAAGTAGGAAAGAAAACATCACAATAAGTAAAAAAAATTTGTCAAATGGCATACTTAATCTAATTTCGATCTATTACCAGAACTGTAACGATAAGCTAAAGAGGAAATCTGATCACAGAAAAATCAAATGAACAGAAATCATTTTGCCTGCAGCCATGACAGGATGTTCATCACATCCTTAGTATCAGGCAGCTTAATTTGTTTTACTTATACAGCACTGCTGGGCCATATTCATTGCAAAGATACCTATTCTAAAATATGCTTCTAGTCCATCTTGACATATTGCCAATAGTCTGTTTAACTCTAGGATGTGTTGTAGCCATATGATTTAACTGTTACACAGCTTCATACATGAGTAAATGAGTCTGATTTATTCTTCCTTATCTTTAAAGAAAGGTATTGGCTTAATTTTTCTTTAACCTCTTCCCCCTGTCAGATATCTTGATTCCCATTTTCCAAGTGAGAATCCCACACTCCTATTTTTACGGACTCTAGATCTAAATCAATAAGCAAAATATTTTAATGTTAGTCATTAATGACACTAGACAAATATCAGCAAGTCTCATCCCAAAAATGCATCATTAATTTATAAGTTATTTGTTTAACTAACCTCTGGTATGCACTATTTTCCTCACATTTTTCAAGAGTAAGTAAACCAAAGACATTCTTGATCCATTTACAGCATTTCACCTTCTCCGAATCAAGGCTCACAGCCAATGACAGCTGCACTGCAAACTAATCTTTCCTTTAAACTTTTGGACTATAAGATAAACAGTTGAGATAATCAGCAGTGCACCTAATGCCTCTGTTAAGTTAAATCATATCCTATCTTTCTCGAAGTATTATGGGCATTCAAACATTGTGCAAGTCTCACCAGCATTTATTACTTTCTGGCAACCTTTATTTCTCCTTATCCATAATTTGACATTATGTTTTAGCCATCTGTAAGCCAATGCCATTATACTGGCATCTCTTTTGGGTGCTTTGAGGGTATCCGTTTCCGTACTTCTGTTGGCAATAGAATGGCTGATCCAGTTGTATTGTCCCTGCTGGATATGGTATCTCCAGCTGAAACTGGGGATTGCTTCATCCTTTCTGGCCCACCCTTAAGCTGATTAGTAGTAAACTCTTACTAAATTCTGCTTCCCCCAGTCTCGTTACTAATATCTACAGTAGCTCCCTCATGGAAGGCTAGAAGTTTATTTAAAGTTCTGGTTTGGGTTTTCATCCAGTGTTGAATGGTGTCACCAGATTATAAAGCCGATAGAGATCTTAGTAGCAACATTACTGGGTAACTGTTAAAGTTTGTACCGTCAAACTGCCTTACACTGTGCGTCTGGAGCGTTTAGTTACTTATGACTTTGTACTGAAAACTCTTAATTATTAATAGATTGCTTTTTGGCATCCTTATTCAAATAGCCTGAAATACTTGATTGCCAAACAACTTTGTTACATTTACTGTTGCTACACAGCTAGATCAGGCCAAGTGTAATCTTTTTGCCATCCCAATTCATTTTTAAACAGAACAGGAGAAGACTTAGTCATATAGCCAATAAAACAGAACTGGCATGGGCAATATCTACCTATGACCAAAAACGGTTTTGAGGTCCCGCTCCTTATTGTTTCCGAGCACAGGGGAGGGGGGAAGCTTAAGGCTTATTTGAGACGAGGCAGGGTAAATACCACACGCTAGCCAAAGACTGAAAAAGACGTCCCACTCCGTCTGGCAACTTTAAGGCTGCAACCCAGCTCCTGCATCAGTAACGACACATGACAGCTTCCCCCAGCAGGCAGCCTGCCAGCTTGGCTATGAGACAAGGAAGAATTTCACCATATGAAACGCAGGTCTCCTACTCTAATGCAGCAGCATTTGAATTTGCAACACGATGTATTTCACTGCTGAATGATTTCATTTTCTTGCGCCTGCTGCGATTCCCTCCTCCACGCCTTCTTTCAGGTAACATGAAGCTCCTCAGCTCTCCCGCTCCCTCACACACCGAATGGGACCCGTCGCCCCCCGTTTCAAGCCGGATTAAGCGTTTTCTGCCCGTTTCGTGATCTGCATCCCGGCTGCTCTGGGCAGGGAAGTTTCCCACCGACGTGCTCCCAAACGCCCAGTAGCCCTCGCCTCGCTGCAGCACCTGCCTCCTCCCTGTCCTCCGCAGCGCCGCGGGCTCCCCTTGCCCTGTCCTCCCGCGCCGCCCTCCCCCTTCTCTCCCCCTCCGCCGCCGCAACCCGCAACCCAGCCTTCGCTACTGGGAAGCTGCTGCGGGGCAGAGGCCGCAGCGGGGATGGCGGCCGCACCCCCCCCCAGAAGGGCTCGGAGCCGCTGGCCGGGGG